CCTTAGAGATTAAATCCAATGGGGTTTGATTGGCCAATTACATGAAAAATTTTGCCTGCACACATATCTTGAAAATAGCTTCTTTTCTTACTAAAAGCAGTTTTTTTTTTAACTTGTCCCACATTGAAAAAATATAAGTTTTGTTTTGGGTTTCTTAATAGGAGTTGATTTACACTCCTTAGATAAAGAGAGGAGAGTATGAAAGCTTGCTACCACGCAACGCGCGCACACGTGTGTGCGGCACAATGAGGCACTTTGCGTGCACCTGCGTGGCATGTGAATGGAGGCTTGACTTTTGGTGCAAGGTTGACCGTTGATGGGATCAACGACCACAATTCTATCAGGTATGATCAGGAGGCATCATTCAAATTGTGACTGTTCAAAGAGTCTTTTCTGAACCAACACCTTCATGACTCTTCAAAGATTATTTAAGGAGCACAAATCAAACATTTACACACAAAATAAAAACAATTTTCAAAAATCACTTTCTTGACTTTGCTGCTTGCAGATACTTGCCCAAGGATCTGTTGTATCCTGAAAACGGATTTGCTTGTAATCCAACAGCAAACTCAGTGAAACTAAGTGGGGACAAATAACGTTCTAAAGATAGTATCTTTAGACGCGCCTCAGAGCTTCTCCTCCAAGTTTTAGTGACCCCATTTTTCAACATCACCCGTCCAAAAGAAGTGGCTAGAAAGACAAAGTTTAACAAATTTGCGAGCAACATGATTGGAATTCCTCTTGAAATGACAAACCAAGACTGAATCAAAGGAGTGGAGAAGCCGCTACAGTCCATAATATAAGAGTGAATAGACCAATTAAGGAGGGGAGGATGAGACCTCCAACAGTTTTGGATTGGATCCAATATGATCGAAACCTTATCAAATCAGATTTGGACGACCCATTATAATTATTGGATTGGGCCATTCCTTAATAGATTGGTCCATATTCTTATTGGTCTGAATTGGACCTAAACCAAATTTCCAATAATCCGATCATGAAGCCAAATCCTTTTCCAATTTGAAACCTATCAAAACTGAAGTCGTCATAAAATCATTTTTACAAAAGCACTTTTATGAACAGTTTTACAATTCACTTTTATAAAAGTAATTTTATAAAAAATACTTTTACTAAAACACTTTTACAAAAATATTTTTACGAAAGCACTTTTATAAAAGTAATTTTATGAAAAGTATTTTTACCAAAGCACTTTTACAAAAATATTTTTACGAAAGCAATTTAACTTTTATAAAAGCACTTTTACAAAAACAGTTTTATAAAAACACTTTTATGAAAGCATTTTTATAAAAGTAACGAAAGCACTTTTATAAAATAAATTTTGCAAAAGTACTTTTATAGAAGTACTTTTATAAAAACACTTTTACAAAAACACTTATACGAAAGTACTTTTATAAAAGCACTTTTATGAAATTACTTTTATCAAAACATTTTTTTATAATTTTTATATGTTCTTTTTTTATATAATTTTTGATATTTCATTCAATTTGGATCGGATCCAATCCAGTCCGTTTACATTTTAATGGATTAAATTGGATTTGGACTGGATTGGTCCAATCCATTTGTAAGTAGACTCACAATGGACTGGATTGGGTTGGACCAAATCCAATCCAATTGACACCTCTACTGGATAGGATCCATAGCATCTCCATCTAGTATATTCTTCTATAGTTGAAAGAAATAGCCAACCTAAGGCCAGCGAGAAGAGCCTGGGCTTCACCTGCAGGATGCAGATGGAAGCATTCACGTTCACCTTTGTAAAGCAATCTGGTGGTGAAATAACCCAAGAAGTAATCCTTCAACATAGTAAGGGATGCCGCAATAATGGAAGAAGGCTGACTGATTTTGCGTTCAAATTTGAGCTTATTACGAGCCAAAAGTTCGGGCTTTTTTTTTCGGCCTGAGTCTAGGCATAGCCCTTAGATATCCAAGCCCGGCCCGAGCCCAACCTTACCATATCTTAACCTAAGATCGACTCACCTATGTACATATATATGCATAGTTTTTTAATAAAACATACATATATGCATATAAGCATATGTTTATATATATACCTTTATATTAAATTTTATTGTGGGCTGATTGACCAATTTGAGCCCAGCCAGGCCCGAGCTCAACCCAAATACATCAAATTTTAGTTCCGGTCGGGCTTGGGCCTTATGCCCGTTTCTTAGAGTTGGGCTTGGGTTGAGATGAAACTTGGACCAGCCTGCCCGATTTGCAGCCCTATTATTAGGAAATGTGAGATACTAAAGTTTTAGATTGACCTTTGGTGGGCTATTTTGGCATGTATGTATATTTCTCTTAAAATTCCAATCTGATCTCCTATTCAATGGAAGTACCTTGAGCTCTCCAATCTGATCTTCTCCCAATCGGAAATGTATATCAACCATCTCAAACCTGACCGTGGGTAAAATAAACACCTGTGATGTTAGAAATATGCTTAGGTCATGTTTGGTTTGAAGGAAAAGGTAGGGAAAGGAAGGGAAATGTAGGGAAATTTTTACAAAACTTGTACAGGTTTCCCTGCTTTTTCTCTTTCAATCCCTATTTTTTTCCTTCAACCCAAACACAACTTCAGGCTCAGTTTGGAAAGAGTGCAAATACAATTATGTACAGTGCTGCTTTAGAAATACACTATATTTGTATTTGCACTATATTTGTATTTACACTGTACATATTTGTATTTGCACTCTTCCCAAGCTGAGCCTAAGGCTGTGTTTGGTTGCAATGCAAATAAATTTGTACTGATACAAAACCATAGCAGTGCAAATGATTTGAGTGTAAATTCTGATTTCTGATCTATTTTGTTTTCAAATTTTACCTTATTTTGTTTGATTGAAGTACAAATGAAGTAAATTAAAACATGAAGCAGAATAAAGTAAAATCCAAAACAAAATAAAACAAGACTTTATATTTTTTACATTTGCACTCCCATACATTTGTACTGATGCAAATAAATTTGCGCTGCAACCAAAAACAATCTAAGGCTTGAATTGGAAGGGGTATAAATACAAAATGTAGAGTGCAAAACTGAGCCTAAAAAACTAACAATATTTGCAAGATTAGAAACATGCCCACTATTCCACTTCATCATTTAAACCAAAATTAGAAAAAAAAGGGGTTTATACATTCACTCAAATTGAACTGTTATGGGTGAATGAAACTGTATGTGGGTTTGTGAGGAACCTAAATTAAATAAGCAACTAATGAAATAGGGGAAAGAAACAAACAAAGGATATATTAGTCAAATATAAATTTGTAAATGAAGAAAACTGGTTGGTTAAGGTTGGGTTAAGATTAATTACTTTTATCACTAGAAGATAAAAATGACACATTTTCTAATGTGGCAATTGTTTTTCTTTTCAAAATCAAAACCACACATGTTAAATATAAGGGTGTCAATGGACTGGTTTTGGATTGGACTCCATCTATTCCAAAATCAATTTGGATGGATTGGATGGATCAACAAGATATATTGGATTGGACCAAGACCTGGTCCGTCCGTAATAAATTTATATTGGATTGGATTGGACTGAGCCAATATCTGGTCCATTGATATAAGATAAGAATATATGTGTCAATGAACCAAGTTTGGATTGAAACCGATCTAAATCAAAATGAATTTGAACAGATTGAACGGTCCAGACATTGAATTGGACTGATCTAAATTGGTCCAAAACATTCATTGGATTGAATTGGACCTGATCCATTTATAATGGACTCACATCAGACTGGATCTGATTGAATCAAATCCACTGCAATTGACACCCCTAGTCAAATACTCGCTCACTAAAAGTGTGACTGTATGGCATTTTAAGTTATCACAAATTATTAAGTTAGGCTAAGTTTGAAAAAAAAAATGTTAGGAACGTAAAAAGAGTTTCAGATTTCCACCAAATATAGTAATGACCCCACCCAAAAGCCTGTAAATTATGCTTGGTGAAAACCCTGAAAAGCGTTTTATGCTTTCCATTTAAGCTTCTTTTAGGAGGTGTTTGGAATTACTGTCAATTTCTCAGAAAGCAGCTCCGCCGTGTCAAAACGTTATTTTGGCATTTTCTCTTTCGGGGAACTTAATTTGTGCTGAATCTCGGAAGAGGATGATACTATGCATGGCATTGATAATTTGTGTCTAATACTTTCTCTTTAAACTTGTAGTTGAAGCCCTAGCTATTACTGTTTTCTCAGAGGGGTGGCCGCTGATACTAAGGCCCCATTTGGTTTACTGGAATAGGGGTCTGGAATTAGAATAAAAATGGATTATTCTGATTTCAACTATTTGATTGGGTGGAATCGAAATTTCATTCCTATTCCTATTGAAATGGTATTCCCCCAATTGAGAGAATCCCTGCCTCTCTCTAACTATTACCGTTAGTCCACAACTTAAACTTAGCACAAATGTTAAGTCATAAGTTTAATTAGGAGATAAAGATACGATAAAAATTATAATAAATTACAAATCTGTGATTAAATTCATGAGTATAACAAATTGTGAGCATCTTTTGTGATTTATTCTCTAGGGCAAGGTGGTAGGTTTAATTTATTGCAAAAGATGCATTTAATTGGATTTCATTAATTGCACAAACAAAGGCGTGTGCACTGCTCGTGTTGGTGGCTTTTCTGTTTGGTATATATAGAATAAGAATTTAAGAACATATGGAGTGTAGGTGTAGCGCATTTCTGTTATATGAAAATTTATATAATAGAGCTGCAAACAAAGGTGATAGATCAGTTTATTGACAACTCCAACACAAAAGCTAAATATAATTAATTATACATGTAATCCTAATTATTAAGTTAAACTGTTCATATGCGTAATTTATATTAAAGCGAGTTCATCACTATATATGTAGCTAGCTAATACGTCATACTAATTAATTAAATGGCTCCATTCGCAACTAGTGAAGGGCCTCTCCTCTTATTTAATTCCAACAACCTGATCTTACATATATATAGTTATTAACTATCAAACTAGCTAATTAAACAAATATCTCTTCTGGGCGTTTGAGTTTGGTCTCCTGCTGCAGCTGGTGCAGGTTGGGTTTCTCCGGCTCTTGCTGCAACTGCTGCTGCTCCTTACTGGGGATCTTCTTGTTCCAGCCAACCGCCAGCTCGTTAGCAAACTTCCTTCGATACATCTCAGTAAAGGTGATTGGTTCATCCAGCACTGCCTTTTCTCCTTGTCTGATTTTAAGAGGATACACAATTGCCTCTGGCGTTGGGTTATGGAAGGTCGCGATTGACAAACGGCTGTAGCTGGAGTTAACAGCTACTTGATGATCTGCGCTCTTGAACCGCCCATTGCTTAGAAACTGCTCATGCACACAAAATTATACATATATTAATTATTTCTTGTTATGCATGTATTTACAACTTAATATGATCAATATTCTATCTCTTCTCCCATTTCAATTCATTAAGTCTGGTCAATTAGGTTGAATTCGGGCTAGCTAGACTGACTTTTGGGTTCTGAACCTGATTCGTTGACATTCATTAATGATAATTATCTTGATCAATCTGGTTTTTGTTCTAAATTGAGTAAATTCAAATTCTCTACACATGGATTGGACATAGCAGCTACTCTACAACTTGGGCAAACGTCTGAACTCAACCTAAAAAAAGTCAGGTTGATGTGGGTCAGGTCAAAGTTCAGGTTAATTAGGATTACCTTTAAAAGTATGAAAATCTGACTTAGGCAAGCTGTATTTGGCATTCCTTATTTTAAAAATTTATCTCTTTTTTCTGTTAAAAATTCAATGTTTATAGGGACATTTTAATCGTAAAAAAGAGATAAATCCTTAAAATAAAGAATACCAAATGCAGCCTTAATATCCGATTGATTGGAGTTGATGCTTTGGCCAACCTGGCTGAACTCAACCCGAACAGCTTCATATTTGTGAGCAACTGTAAATAGTACATAAACATTTATTTATATGAATATATATATATATATATATATATATATATTTATATGTGTGCGTAAATATGCATCTATCTATATTCTTGTCAATAATTTTAAGTTCAAAGTCTAAAATTTTAGAAGAGCATGCATGATAACTAGCTGTTTTTACATATAATAATACTAAGTAACTGAATTGACCTCACTCCTTTTTTTCGTCTAACTAGTCTAGGACATAAAAACTATTGGCAAAACGAAGTAGAAAAGTGAACCCAACCAAAAACTTTGAGGTCGGGTTAAAGCTAGGGTTGAGGCCTCGGCCAACTTGGCCTACTTGACCTAATTCTATGCCAGAATGCTTTATATTTATTTGTTATAAATTTATTTATTTATTTATGCATTCAGATTTATTCCTCATAAAGTGTGCCTCACACCAATTTCATGACACATTACAGCTGTGCATTGAGAATATCTTTCCATGAATGACAACATATACAAATATGGGAGATATTCCCCATGTGTGGCTACAAGTGTTATTATGGTTTAAATCCGGATTTTCAGACAATGGTAAAACTGAATTGAGATTAAAATAGCATTTGGCTGGGGGTTCTATAGCTCAGGTGGACTTATTATGTTGACTTCAACCTGTCCTAACCCCATCCAACTTGCACCCCTAATGGAATCAGCTACCAATCTACCATGAAAAGCTCATAGCAAGCTTTTACAAGGAACCCATTACCATATTTCATATATATTTTCTCAACAAAGGGGAATAATTTGTTAGAGAATAAAAATTAACAGAGACCCCACCTAACAGCTTAAGCTTTTAAGTTGAATGGTTTTTTGAGATGATATTGGTATTAGAGATTATTTGAACAAATTTAATAACTAATTAGATTTCATCACTTATGAAAGAATGTTAGAGAATAAAAAACTATTTAGAGACCTCATCTAACAACTTAAGCTTTTTAGATTGAACAATTGCTTGAGATACTATAACAAAAAATGTTGATCTATACTCACATAGCCATGATCGCCAATGTTGACAACAAGTGCACCCTGGATGGGCTGGACGGTGACCCATGTCTTGCCCCCATCTCTTGTAGCCTGGAGCCCTCCCACCTGGTCCTGGACGAGAAGAACAATAGTGCTAGGATCAGTGTGTCTCTTAACACCAAGTGCAAGTTCAGGCTGTGGACATTTTGGATAGAAGTTGGTAAGCAGCTTCTGATTCACGTTGATACAAGCTTTAGCCAGGGCCTCTTTCTCAAGGCCCATTGCCTCTGATAACACCTCCATTAACTTGCAGGCCACATCCATCATCTTCTTGGTGTAGCTCTCCGTCACTTTCCTCCATCCCTCTGGTTTGTCGGGCCACCTCGAGTAGTCCCGACTCTCAACAGGATATGTGAAAAAAGTGAAGAACTCGCGCCAGTCATGGAATGCCTCTCCCTACAAACAAGCACCCCATTGGGCTTAAATGTACCAGCAGATATTTGGACCAATAAAAGCCAGTTGATATCAATGTTCTAAATATCAGTAAGGTGTATTGGTCTGTATCGATACTTTTTTTTTTATGTTTTATTTAATTTTTTTGTCAAAATCAATTTAGAGAGATCGGTTTAAATCTGGCTATCCTTTGAACCATGACCTGACTCAATACAACTCCTGTAGGGACGTATCGGAAAAGGCCCAATATGATATATATCAGCCGATACGAGTCAATATGTAACAAAATTTTGATCCTTGATTGATATACTCCGGATCTGCTACTTATAAGTTGTTTTCACATCTCTATCCACAAAACACCATTGCTGTGGGTAGGGATGTGGGAACAATTCGTGGGCAGCATATCCTAGCCCACTCAATATATTCTGCGAACGCATATAACAGGGTAAGCAATTAATCAAAAGTTAGGACAGCAGTACAGTTTTACAAAGATAGGACCCACTTGTGTTCATCAGTGATTGGTATGTAGCCTATTATACATATCCTTGTTCGCAGCAGATCCAGCCTATAATAAAGGCAAAGTAGGTAGAGATGCAACTCAGGTTGGCCCGAATTAGCCTATATTCATTCATAACAAGGACTACTCATAATTTCTGACATCTCCATTACAGGATAATTAATTAACAGATCAAAGGGGGTGCTTTTGCATATATCAATGTACTACAGGGGAAATTTAAGTACTTGTCAAAAAACACAAGGGAGGTTGTAAGTTTCCAAATGATCAAAAATACAAAAAAGAAGTTGATAAAAATACAAGTGAAGTTATACTACTAGTTTTTAGATTCTTTGAGGAGGGTAAACCTGAACAACCCTAGAAAAAAAAGTAACTTTTAAACACAATATTCCTAATGACGAATTGGAGCTTCATATTTATTAGACTATAAGGCCCTATTCGCTTTTTGGTAAGTTACATATTCGAATAAATGCACTTACGCAGATAAGTGTTTTATAAGACAGAGTTATCCAAATAAATACATTTATTCATGCTCTTTTATTTCGTATGTAAATAAGGCAATGATCATTTTAGCCATAAAAATTCATTATTAAAAAGGACATTTTTATCCCATCCAAGTGTTAACAACTTTCCTCCAATGTGGAAAAATTATTTACCCACATAGAGGATAAATATCACTTACCCGGAAAAATAAACTTTCCTTGATCACTGCAAAAAGAACATAAGATTCTTAATCAATGAGAATTATAATCCCATTGATCAACTTTTCCCCTTTCAATATCCAAAATAAGAATTGCAAGTAAAAACTTGTACACACTCTAAAAACACGAGCATCCTGTCACACATTGGAACATCTCCCTATAAATTTAAGATACACGTATGAAAGATATTCCTAATGTATGGTTGAAAGTTGTGTGCATTTACTCATGGGAAATCAGGGCTAAATACACAACTCAATCTTTTTTATCAGTAAACTATATGCAACCATCCTGATCCCTGTACTTGGGGGAAAATAACACTTTAACCCCTAAGTTATAGGCAACCACCCTGTACTTGGGGAAAATGGCTTTGCAACAAAGACAAACCTGCCAGCAAACTTTTTCCCTTGTGTTAGTATTTTGTCGGGCAATTTCATAAAATATTCCTTTTCACTATTTTTACAAACTAAAGTACTAAACTACCCTTATTTTATGATCATTTTCAATTTTTGAAGTTAGTTTTTCTAAAATCCAATGTTTTTGAACTGTAGAACCGTTCAGATTGGGTTTAACCCATACTGTTTAACCACTGAATCATTCGACCTGGACAATAGTTCATAGCTGTTCGCAAAGCACGGTTGCAATGGCTGTTAGGAACCAGTTTTGTGACTAAATCCAAACTCCCTGTGTTAAAAACGAGACCAGATCTGCTCCTCACTCCTGTGGCCTCACACGGTCATCCTACCATGCATTGGGAATCTCTTATTATTTTACGGGAGATGCTCACAATGCACGGTGGATGTGCCTGTGAGGCGACCATTTGTGAAGAATATATCCCACTTCGTTAAAAATGAATTCAAATATGCTACCAACACTATCCCAATTCGTCATTACGGTCCTACATTGGGAACATTTCTAGTGTGCGGCTGTAATGACCTATTGGGACAGTGTTGGTGTTGGTAGCAGATCCGGCCCTATTCAGAAAAAAAAAAAAGCTAAAATTAAAGTTCCTCAGATGTCTTTGTTGCAAAAGAAAGCTCAGTGGTCTATTAATGTTAAAACCCCAGTAAACCCATGATTTTTAAAGAATTGGAATCCCTATCCAGTAACCAGAGAACTTCCCTGACCCTAATTGCATAATTAAGGAGTGAATTCAAATTTGCTCCCAACAAACACTCCTAACAAGCCATTATAGTCACACATGGGAAACATCTTGCAGTGGCATGCTAGAACGGTGTTTGGGAGCGTTTTGTTGGTAACAGGTACATAGTTCTGTACCTACAATATAAAGAATTTGGTGCATCTTTTCGTAAGACTCTGTTTAGTTGGAAAAAAATGAACAGATGGAAAAATATAGTCTTAAAACACGAAAAATCTGTTTTAGACTATTTTCAAAGAAAAATGTACATTAATCAAATGATGAATAATCTTCAAACTGTTAAGATTATCTTAATGCAAAAACTCACGTTATTATCAGATCTAACAGGATAAAATTGATACATGAAAGAAAAACACAGTACTATTTTAGTTTTTACGTTGGCTCACCTGGAGGTGACTGGAAACCAGGTATCCGCCCTTCTTGCCACCAGTCATATCGAATTGGAGCTTCTCGTCATCAGACAAAGAGAAGAATTCTCTGCTCAGTCGGTACATCTCAGAGATGAGATCTTCCTCCACACCATGGTCGATGACTTGGAACATACCCCACTCCTCGCATGCCTCCACTATTTTTTTGGATATCTCCTCTCTCTGACTCTCAGACTCTCCCATTATTCCAGCCAGAGAAATCACTGGGATTTCATTGCTGAACTGGTTGTAAGCCACTTTGGGACGGTCATCCTCTATTCGGATGAAACTTTGGGGGAGTGTCTTTTCCTCAACCAATGCTGTCAACGGAGCGAACGTCATTTTGTTACTATCTCTCTCTGCGTAATTCCTTCTTCTTCTATCATTATATGTGTTTGTTGTTGCTTTCGTCTATATATATATTGACATATTGTGTTCTCAAGAGAAATCAGGACTGGTCCGAGTGGAAACAGGATGACACCTGTTCATGATACGTGTATGTTTTTGACGATCTGTGTATTCAGTATCTGGCTCTGCCGACTGGGGCTGGACGCTGAATCCATGCGAACAGAGCTAACATTTATTAATCTTACGGCCTATATAATTATATATATGTATATGGGCATGACATGCAAGCTGCAAGGTGGTAAAAGCTAAGCTAATATCTTATACTACTCATGGAGAGTGGTTTTCATGTGTAAATAAAGAGGTGATATACAAAATAATGTTATACAATCAATTTTTAACTTACTGTAACAAAGCCATCACAACCATTCACTTATATATTTATATTGAATAGGGGAGATTGAGAATGTTTGGTTTAATACTTGTTGGTTAGGTTAAAACAATTATGGCACATAATTTTACATTTTAGGTCTCATTTTTTCTATTAAATCATTTACTAATTAAGCAGGTACTTGGATAAGTGTATCAATATATACTCATTTTGATCAAAAGTATTTTTTTTGATAATGCACGGTTCTTTTGATCATTTTTACCCAAAAAATGTAATTATTAGTGATACGAAAACACAGAAGATGTATGAAGAAAATAATATTTCTTAATTGTTTAATTCAACAGGTTACAATCCTATTTATAATAGAGTTAGGGATACAAGGTTGGCTACCTAACTTAGAATACAAAAAGGATATGTACAGCTAATTTCGATAGAACTATTTCTCCTTAATTCTAGGATACTAAACGCTAACATCCCCCCTGAAACTCAAGATGGTAATGTATCAGTCATCTGGAGTTTGCCAACTAGAGCACGGAAGCGGAGAGGAGAGTGAGCTTTGGTAAATATATCTGCAGACTGATCCTGGGAAGAGACAGGAATAAGGCGAACAGTACCATCGAGCACATGATGACGAATAAAGTGACAATCAGTCTCAATATGCTTAGTGTGCTCATGAAATACATCATTGTGGGCAATTTGTATGGTGCTACGATTGTCACAGTAAAGTGAGGTTGCAGATGAATGAGTAAGTCCCATGTCATGGAGTAACCATCATAACCATAACAGCTCAGAGGTAGTGTCAGCAAGAGCTCAATATTCGGCTTTAGTATTGGATCGAGAGACAACCGTTTTCTTCTTACTACGCCAAGATATAAGAGAATCTCCAAGAAAGAAGCAATAACCAGTAGTGGAGCATCTATCAGTAGGATCACCGGCCCAATCAGCATCAGAATATGTGATCAACTGAAGAGAAGAAGAACTGGAGTAGTGAAGTCCATGAAACAAAGTGCCCTTGACATAACGGATGATACGAAGCACAGCAGCATAATGAGCAGTGCGAGGGGCAGACATGAACTGACTCACAATATGAACAACATACGCAATATCAGAACGAGTAACAGTAAGGTATACAAGACTGCCAACTAGTTGCCGATATAAGGTGCAGTCACTAAGAGGAGTATCGTCAGTGGCTGAAAAATGGGCATTAGGCTCAATCGGAGTGTTAACAGTCTTAGTATCAGTGAGTCCTGCACGAGAAATAAGATCAATAGCATACTTAGCCTGAGACAGATAATATCCTGATTGGTCGGAGGAGACCTCAATGCTTAGGAAATAATTTAGTTTACCAAGATCTTTCATTTCAAATTGTTTGCTAAGAAAAGTCTTAAGAGTGGAAAAGCCTGCAAATCATCGCCAGTAATGATCATGTCATCCACATAAAGGAGGAGAAGTACACAACCCTGAGAGGTCTTTCGCATGAACAAAGCATGATCATAAGTGCTAGATTGAAAACCAAACTAACAAACAGTAGAGCTGAATTTGGAGAACCATGCTCGAGGTGCCTGCTTAAGTCCATATAGAGCCTTACGGAGATGACAAACCTGATTAAGGAGATGATCATAACCAGAAGGGGGCTGCATATAAATCTCTTTAGAAAGTTCACCATTGAGAAAAGCATTCTTAACATCCATTTGAAATAGCTGCCAGTGCTTAGCTGCAGCGATCGCAATAAGATTGTGAACAGAAGTGAGACGGGCTACGGGGGCAAAAGTCTCCTCATAATCAATGTCATACTCCTGTGTGAATCCTTTAGCTACCAATCTAGCTTTATACCTTTCAACTGAACCATCTACCCGAGTTTTGATTTTGTAGACCCATTTGCAACCAATCACAGACTTATTTGGAGGCCGGTCAACTAAATCCCAAGTATGAGTGCTTGTAAGAGCTTGAATTTCTTCTGCCATTGCTTTCTGCCATAGAGGGTCAGTACTAGCCTTGCGATAGGTACAAGGCTCGTATAAAGATACAATGGTAGAATAACAATGAAAATCACAAAGAAGAACGGAAGGTTTAGTAACCCTACCAGAGCGACAGAGTGAAGCATCAGAATGAACAGGGTCTAATTCATCAGAAGGAATCAAGGGCTCAAAAGATGGCAGAGCTGGAGGATCCATAGCCAAGGTAGATGCATCAGGAGAGGCTGCAAGTTGTGTAGTACTGTTAAAGCTATCAGATGAAGTAGTCGGACCTACAGGTAAATCATCAGGAAAAAGCGAGATAGTAGGATCAGTAAAAAAATGTGAAGATGTCGTGGTAACTCAAAATGGAGAGAGACTGGAGAACATTTTGTGTTCCCAGAAGGTAACATGATGAGATATGTGAAGTCGTTGGGAAAGAGGATCCCAACACCGATATCCTTTATGTTCAATACCATACCCGAGAAAACAACATAGACACGCTTTTGGTTCCAATTTGGTGTGTTCATGAGGTTGTAATAGAATAAAACAAGCACAACCAAATACACGAAGAGACTGGTAATCAGGGCAATGGCCATACAATCATTCATAAGGGGAAATGTTACCAAGAATAGGAAAAGGAATGCAATTGATGGTATAAACAGCGGTGAGGGCTGCTTCCCCCCAAAAACATTCAGGACAGCAGGAAGAGATTTAAAGAGCTCGAACAGTATCAAGAATATGCCTACGTTTTCGTTCTACACGCCCATTTTGTTAAGAGGTACCAGGACAAGATCTATGAATAATAGTTCCATTCTGTTAAAGAAATTGGGTAAGGATAGAATCTCTATATTCCATGGCATTATCAGTGCAAAAAATTTTGATGATAGAGGAAAACTGAGTTTTGATCATGGTGGCAAAATGAATCTAAATTGCAGGTAATTCAGATTTATTACGCATGAGATAAGTCCATGTATATCGTGAGAAATCATGAATGAAGATCACAAAATAACGCGAACCACCCATGGTATTATGAGGCGAAGGTCCCCAAATATCAGAATGAATAAGATCAAAAGGTGCAGAAGAAACGTAATCACTTATATTAAAAGCCAAAGCATGATGTTTTGAAAGAGGACATGAAACACAATCAAAGTGTGTTGTTTTAACAGGACCCAAACATCCATTAGAAATTAAAAATCCTAATCTAGAGGTAGAAATGTGACCAAGGAAAGAATGCCAGATACTAGAGGTGACAACAACAGCAAGAGATGGTAATTGAAGAGATGATAGTTCAAACAGTCTCCCAACCTTACGGCCTGTCCCAATGATCTTCCCTGTCCGTGGATTCTACACAGTACAACCATGACTTGAGAAATGTATTTCAAAACCAATTTCACATAATTGTCCAACAAATATAAGATTTAGAGATAATTGAGGTACCAAAAAGGTGTTAAGAAGTGACAAGCGAGATGTTGAAACAGTTCCTACACTTTTGACAGTTAAGGTGGAACTATCGGCAGTATGAACAATTGGTGCAATAGAAAGATGTGACTTGGAAGTAAACAGTGATGAATTGGATGTCATATGATAGCAATAGGCAGAATCAAAATACCATGATGAGGTAGTACCTGGAGTGACGGACAAGACTGAATTAGAAGGCATACCAGAGTCAGGTTGGAGCTGGTGAAGAAGAGCTTGGAGTTCTCTAAGAGAAAATTTTGGAGAAATGTTATTAGAAGAATTCTTTGTGGCAGCAGTTGCAGTAGAACTCAAAGCCTGAGAACCCATGGATGAGGACTTATGTCCAGACGCCATTTTGGCTTGCAAGCGGCGGCACTCAGAAATAGTATGACTAGTCTTCTTGCAGTAATTGCAGAACCTCCTTTTTGAAGATTTAGAGGAAGTTGAAGAAGTAGCAGACGTACCCGGAGTAGCAAGAACAACATCAGTAGATAATAAGGATCGCTCATCTCAAAGTGTTTTTAGACGAGTTTCTTCAGAAAGCAAATCTTTGATCACAACTTCAAGAGAAGGCAATGGGTTACGATTAAGTAGAGTACCACTAATAGGTTCATACTCATCCTTGAGAGTCATCAGAAGATGCCAAACACGTTGGCGATCGCAAAGCTTGGAATAAGTAGTAGCTGTAGAGGTACTATCCCATTCAGGTTCACACTGTGCTAACTGATCCCAAATAACTTGTAATTCAAAGACATAACTATGAATGGTCTGTTCAGGTTGCTGCTTCATACGGTGAAGACGCCTGTAGAGCTGAAACTGATGCACATCATCAGAAATAGAATAATGGGCTTGTAAGAAATCCCATACCTCATTAGGACAGTCATATCTGCGAAATTCCAACTTGATGCTTACAATACAAGTATTGCAAAACCATGTCAATATTTGATGATTTTGACCGTCCCATTTTTCTATTGGTTCAACAAATTTACTCTCTGTTTCATCAGCAATTTTAGTAGGTTTGGGAATCTCACTAGTCACATATCGCCATAGAAGGCGTCCCTTGAGAAAACTGCACATCTCTTGGGACCATAAATCATAATTTGAGCCATCAAAGGTAACAATGATGGGATGAGAGATATGTTGAGCAGCTTCAGATGAATCCATGAGGAGAAACACAGATCTTTGGAGCAACACGAATCATGG